TTGTACTGTAGCTTCTATGTGTACCAAGTAAATGAACGAGGTTCTCGGACATGAAATTATGTTTCATGTAGATTTTCTATTTTTATATATTTATTGTCAATAAGATTTGGGTTTTTAGCTCGAGAAGTGATGTGGGATAATGTAATCCTTTTTTGATTCAATTTTCTTAGGTTTTTTTTTTTTAATCTTGGTTTGATTATCAAAGAGAACTTTTTTACTTTTTAAGTTCTTAGTGTTATTGTGAATTTGTGATAAAGAACATAGTCACCGATTTGATTATTAAAGAGAACTTTTTTACTTTTAAAGTTCTTAGTGTTATTGTGAATTTGTGATAAAGAAACATAGTTACCGATTTTATAGATGAATGGAATTACAAAGACTTTTGGATAATTCTTAGCTCTTCCCACTCTCCCTTACAAATACAAACCACCAAAATTTTTACAAAGGCATTTAATCTCTTTGAGACATATTACTTGGTTACATTGTGAGAAAGCATGACCTAACCTAGGTATGTTCATCTAGGATCAACGCATCCGAGTTAACCGAAGTTTTAAGTAAAAGGTGATAAAAATTATTTGTTTGGATCAATATAATTCATTCCAACTGGTAAATGGACGTGTCGAGTAAATGAAATCTAAATGATCAGTTTGTGTCACTAAAGTTATAAAAAAAATTCAACATTAATCCAAACAATTTCAAAAATTTACAAACTCGATTCCAACTCATTATCCGTTGATTGGATGATAATATTAACTATCCATATTTTATTTATTATCCGCAGTAACCGATTTTATTTTTATAAAAAGATACACTACGGATAATAATATTTGATAAATTACTTTTACCGAACTCTTTACTCATTATATAATCACTAGAATATGGCTCGCGCGATGTGCGAGTTTTTGTTTACAATTTTGTTAAATTTATTGACAATTTTTAAAAAATCAATCTAATAGTTTTATAATTATAATACTGTTTTTGAATTGAAATAAAATTAATTGTTTCTTTTATTTATATTTTATGAAAATATGAAATGATGCTCAATAGTTCCAATATAAAAATAGATATGTTGATTTGAGATTTTGTTATCTATATATATAGTTTTGTATTTAATCACTTCACGCTTTATTAATCAGAATTTGTTTTTATACTTTTAGAAATCAAATACAATATTTTGAGTAAAATCATAGATTCCAAAATTTCTTCTTATTTTCTACTCTTATTTAATATCTTTTACCGAAATAAGATATTCTTGTTCTCTTTAGACTTTTAATCACCTAATAATTATTTGATACTTCATTAGGTGCTTCAGTAATTAACATCATTTAACTTTTTTTTTATTCTCTCATGTGATTTATATGAATTTTTATTAATTTGTTCTTATATTGATTTTACATATTTCCAATTTTTGAAATTTAAATAAGTAAACATCTATCTTTATCATAAACTCATAGTGTTTATACTACTCTCAAATGGAATATAATATAAGTGAATATAGTTTTTGTTATAATTTAGTATTTACAACAATAAAATACTCAAATATTCTTGTATATATGTAGTACTTTTGATAATTTATTTACTTATTTTCGTTTTTAGTTTAATACACACTTTTAGTAGTTGTAAGTAACAATTAATATATAAACATGAATTAAATTGAGCATTTAAAATAATTTTATTGTTAAAAAGAGATATATTTGCCTATGTAGACACTTTAAATAGACAGAGAACTCTTCCATTATATAATAGATTTGAAATATAA